GTTAACGTGTTACAGGTACAAGTTGAAGAAGAAAATGCTGAAAAGCTGACAGCATGTTAAAGATGATTTGTTTATACAAGTGCTAAAGTTATGTTTGATATGTTAATGCAACCTCATTTTCTAGTAAAGGCCAAACACTATTAAGTGGTTATTTGCATTGATTTTTCTATCTTCTGAAATACTTGATTCAAGGTAAACCATCTTTACTCCTTTTGTATAACTGGAGCTGAGGCTGTCTTTTAAGTCGCTTTCTGGGTGGGTCTCATGGACTTTCCTCAATGATATTTTCCTGGTCCATTTCGTGACCTCTCTATCAGTGTCCCGTTTAGCAGATGCTCCTTTTTCAGTTTGTCTGGATTTTCCCTTCGGTGTTGCAACACTCCCACCTGGGGAGTCACTGAAAGGGGTCAGCACCCACTGCAGCTTGCACCAGCGCCTCTCACAAACATCCTCATTCTGGAGTTTGTCTGGATTTTCCCTTCGGTGTTCCAACACTCACACCTGGGGAGTCACTGAAAGGGTCAGCACCCACTGCAGCTTGCACCAGCGCCTCTCACAAACATCCTCATTCTGCTGAATCATGTTACCTGATGCTTATTAAAAAAGACTCAACAGTAGCCTAATCATTTAAATTTTAAGATAGGAGGGAAGGATATGTTTACTTGCTCTCTATCCTTGCTTTCCTGGCTGAATCTCTTCTTATCCTTTTGGTATGTTACCTGTTTTGCTTTTCATTTTGTGTCTTAGCTGCTTGTGATATATCCTATGGGTACAGAGGTATTTGTTGCAAAAGACTGTGTGTATTTAGAAGAGTTGCATGGTGGAAATACAGTTCAAGAGAAGATTGAGGCCCTGTTGCTGGGAATGGATGATGTTGTACTGACAACTGTACAGCTGGGCATTGGTGGTTGCTCAAGGAACACTTGGCTTAATGAGGTTCATTGTCTGTCAAGTACATTATCACCTGATTCAGGCTAGCTGAGGTAGGAGACTTTTTAGGGGAAATACCTTCAGAGAGGAGAAAAAATGTGTTTGAAAGAAGAGAGGAAGCCTTTGTCAAGATTGATTTTGGGGATGGGTTTTTTTGTACCTTCAGTTGTCTAAATTGCCTCTCCGGCTACAGAACTGTGAATGCACGCGGTAGACCACACAGTAAAGTTAATTCTTAGTAAGTTGTTTGTGCGATACCTTTATAAAATTATGTTACCATTTCTTGTGCGATTAATGTGCACATATAAAGGTATGTGCGATACCTTTATAAAATTATGTTACCATTTCTGAGGCTTTAATATCCTTTACTCAGCAAAGTCAGTGTTCTGATCAAAACATTTTCTCATTGACGTGTCCACACTGCTCCCATATTCCTTGATGTACTCAAAGTATCTCTGGTACAGAAGCAGTTTTCTCGATTAACAGCCCATGTTTCAGAACGTGTTGAACTCATGGGAATTTGCTTTTAGGGGCACAATTAAACCTCAGATCCAATGTTTAGGTAACCTGTGTTGCACAAAATATATTGTCTGTTTGAAGTTTTTCCAAGTGTGAATTTTTGCAAGTTTGAGATAACAGAATTTAGACATAGTATCTCAAATTAAACACTTCCTTTAGCTTTCAGCTTTCTTAAAAGGATACATCCAACATTTCCTTTTTGTCAGTACCAAGTTGGATGATGTCTTCTCTTCACTGTGCTCCAAAAAGTATTTTTATATATGTTTTTAGAAGGAAATTCAGTTTCTTACTTGCAGCTGTTGGCATTTTAGAGGCCTGGAGTGAACCAATAAAAACACATGTTCTTTTAAAGAACATCTATTTTTACTGGACCTTGCTAACAACTAGTGACACAGAATTCAAAAAATGTTGGCTCAAATGAATAGAAGGGCTGCATTGTTTTAAATTCTATTTTTAAAAGTTTTCTTTACAGCAAGGTTACACTAAAATTTCACATGCTTCTGCTCTTATGAAAAGGAGTGTTTGCCTTTAGAATGCTGATTTAATCTTTTCAAAGTAGCTCAGGTATCACAGTTGTAAAGTATTAAATTTTATTGAGAAATACACAGTACTGCTATTTAAGACTATTATTATAATGCTTTCACAAAGAGGGTAATTGAAGATTTTACTTCTTAGACAGCCAAGAATAAATCAGAATATCTTCTGTTAATGCATTGTTTCCAACATAGTAAAACACTTAGGTGCAAAGATCAAATTAGATCACCATTCCTTTCAATGACGTCCCAAATCGAATTCAAGGAGTATACTAGTTGAAAATGCCCCAGAGTTGGTTTGGTTTTTTTTCTTTTGGATATCAACACTCTCAGTAGAAATGAAATGAAAGAGAAATTACAAAATGTTCCCAAGTTTGATGTAAATGTAATCATATCAAGGTTGACTTGATAGGGAGGTTTATCCATTTTATGTTACCTGTGTTGCATCTTTACTGTACTTTACTTGCTCTGTGTTCTGCAAGATCCTTGAGTCCCACTGCAGCTCTTTAATTCAGTGTCCTGTATTCACAGGAGTGAAGTTGAGAGCAGAATTAGGATTGCATCCATGTTCTCAGTGGTACAACCTGCTTTGTACAATCAAGATCTTTTCTCATGTATTCATGTAGCTAGGTTTTGCTCTTAGAATATTTTCACATGCCTTTTGGAATCAAGAGAACAACGTGATTATAAATTCAGGTTTTAAAGGTAAATTGAGATGTTAGTCTTTTAAATAATATTTACTCTACATAAACTTGTGTTGTTGTCAAATTGTGGATTCCAAAACACTGTTTTGAAGAATAATGTTGGCAAAGCAGAAAAGTGAGTGTCCTGGTGATCATACATGATGTAATGTGTAGTGCCTGCAGTGGTAGACTGATTTTTTTTTAATGGTGTTTAGATCACAGAATCACAGAATCACAGAATAATGAGGTTGGAAGAGACCTCTAAGATCGTCAAGTCCAACCTATGCCCTAACATATCAACTAGACTATAGTACCAAGTGCCATGTAGTAGACTGATTTTTTTTAATGGTGTTTAGATCACATAAACCAAGGAAAAAAATGTTGCTAAAGAAAAAAAAATATATATTATTTCTGTTTAGTTCTTCAGTAGTTTTGGTAGCACCTTCACATCTGCAAACACATAGTTTTCATGCTAAACATGGAAAAAGAGTTACATATCGGATTCTGTGATTTGTAATTTTGTGGCTGGGTGGGTGGGTGATAAACACAGACATTAAATATCTCATGTGAAAATACCTACAATCAAATGTATCTTAATTTATTTTCTGTATTTCCCTATCTATGCAAAAATGTATTTTTTCTTGCAATAAAAATGAAACTACATTAAGGAAGTTTACAACACACATTGAGAGAATGTACTAGTCCAGAAAAATTCAGTGCCTTTAAAATGGGTAGTCCTATTAGAAATAAGCTCAGATTTCTAACAGAAGTAATGAAATATAACAAGAGATATGTGAATGGAATTTTTAATAGTACTTTTGGATTCCTACAAATTTTTAAAATTTATTAAATTGAGCATTGGATCATTCTGGTTTATATACTATACTGAATACCTGATGAGCAGTATATTTTTAGGTCTTATTTTGTGTTTAAGAATTGTATCTGTTGGCATGCCTTTAAAATTTCTGTCTCAAGATTCTTTAGCATTCGTTATTTTACTTAGACCTCATTTGTAATTTTTTTTAGTTCTGAAGCTTTGTGTCTCACAGTTTTTCTTTTTTTAGAGTTTCCATGAGCCAGGCTTCATTGTCCCGTATACTGAATTGCTCAGGAATAGGGTGCATATATATGATGGGAAGCTCAGTTCTGTCTTGTCCACAGTCACTAAGACACCACAAGAGACTGACATTTCCTCATCTTTTGAGACAGCAATGCTTACATGGGCATTATAGTACAATTTTTATTCTTTTTTTTTTTTTTTTTGCTGGTGTTTTCAGAAAGTATATATTAAAATATTTTTTAATAAATAAATTTTATTTTGTTCCTAATTGCATTTTGTTCCTTAGCTTTGGGTTTTGGTGATCATGTCTAAACTACTGGCTTGTAATACGTTGTTGTAAAATGCTTCTTCTGGTACTCTGCTTTTCCCTAGTTCTAACAGTTGTTTCCATATGTCTTCTTGGTACTTTGTCTGCTTTGGGTTTTTTTGGGGGTTTTTTTTGGGTTTGGTTTTTTTTTGGGGGTTTTTTTTTTTGTTTTTTGGGTTGGTGTTTTTTTTGTTTGTTTGGGTTTTTGGTTTGGTTTTTTTTGTTTGTTTGTTTGTTTGGGGTTTTTTTCCTTTGGAAAACAGGCTTTTTTTGTAAGGCAAAGAACTGTCTGCAGACAAATAATTGCTCTTTCAAACCAAGGAACTGGGCAAGACCTTTTATAGTCAATGTTAAAAAAAGCAAAATATAATTTGGTTTTAACTTGCAGATTTTTAATCATTAAAATAAATGCTCAGCAGACAGCAATAAGTCTACATGTATAGGCACACAGTAGCAAGTGCTAATTTTCTCATTTTTTGTCATTAAGTTAAATGTTTAAATAAAACAATCTTGGACAATTATAGTAACCTATTAGTATGAAAAATACAAAATTTCATCTATATTTTCTAATAAAAGCCTGAATCCTTGATTTGGGTGGAGGGTCTTTCATTTGCTTGCATTTCAATAAGCATTAATTCTTTCCTTTATATCTGCTTGCTTAATACGTAAAAGCCAAAATCCAGCCATATATTGGCATAACTAGGAGCAGAAATTCAACCCAACATTCTGATAAATATCTCCTCTGATACATCGTGGTTTTGGCATACTTTTAGACCAGGAAGAAACTGAATAATGATATACATTTTTAAAACGTAGCTTTAGTACTGTCTGGGATTGTAACTTGCTTTTGTCTGATGCTTTTGCTACTGCAGAAATGGTGATGGGGTTATTTACAGTAAGTCTTTTGGCTTGTTGAAAAAAAATATGCCCACACTCCTCTACTTAATGGGATTCTTTCCTCGTTGCAGTGCAAACGGCTGGAGCAGGAGCTTCATCATCTGAAAGAGCAGAACCAGACTTCAGCAAACAACACGAGACATATGACTGCTGAAAACAATCAAGAACGTGCTCTGAAGGTAAATCTCCATTTCTTCTTGCAGGCAAATTAAGGTTGTAAGCCCCTGGTGCCAGCTTTCTGGGCTGCATATATCAGTTGTGTACATTTCGGCAGAAGTGAGCTATGGTGTTTGCCAACAACTGCTTCTTTAAACACAGATACAGCACCCTTCTGTTATGGTTTTATTTTATTTTGCCTATGAAAGCAACAAGAAAAAAAATAACATATCCTCCAAATTACTGGGGCTGTAATTAGCACTAAATTCTTGAGATCTGTCTTTGCAATATTACATTGTATAAGATGAAGAAAACTGCAATTATTTGCCTCGTGGTACCTTTGCAAAACTAATATTTTAAAGCATGGCTGTTTGATCTGCTCCCAGCAGTGTGTGCTATATTAATAACATTGTTGACCGATACTACTAGTGACCACATAGTTGATACTACTATTTGCAAAAGGGTAGCTACTTGGAATTGGGAGGAGGAATAATAAGTCTTGTCAATAAGAATAAAAATGAGCAGAGAGGCGGGAGAGGGTCAGAGAAAGGACAGTGTAAAGTGACAGGTTATTGCTGCTTTGAGAAAGGGAAATTGTAATGTCAGTGGAATTGATAGCTACATAGCCTGCAATCTCACCGCTAGCCAGGATGAGAGACTGTGCCAGGTAAGATGTGCAAGCATTGTGCACACCTCTTCAGCCACTTTATTCTTAAAACTCTTTTATCGGTTGTGGAGATACAATACAAATACAGAACTTACTCTGTTTGTACTGTGTTGTCATTTTAAAACTGTTTGATTTAGACAGTAAGATCCAAAGGTATCTCACTTACAGATAGATTTTCCTCTGTCTCCTTTTCTCTATTTTTTTTTAATTTATTTAGGAAACATCATTGTACATACAACAACTTGACTAAAGCAAAGTATAAGAATAAAAGTAAATCCTTGTGTAGTTTGTCATTTCTCAGTAAGAAAAACAATAAATATAATAATAATAAATTGAGAGAGGCTGTGTGCCACACGAATGCTGTATGGGTTTATAATTGCCATCAAAATCTACAGTGAATATTACAAAATCGGGTGAGCAATACTGAAAGCAGATGAATAGAAATGGAGATCATAAACATTCAAGACTGTTTCTGACTGCAATAACAGAATTGTTTTAAATCTGATGTCACTAAAAGTTAGTGCTTGCCAAGCAGGCTACTTACTGAACATAGTATTGTTTTTCATTAATTGCATGCTAACTTGTTTTTTCTGTGTCATTGAAAATACTGTGCAGAGAGCCTTTCTGCTAGAAAAAAGTTTTATTTAAGCTACGCTTTTTGCATTTAATATTGTCTGACATAACGCTTACAGAATAATTATATTTTCAGAGCAAGAAGTGATTTGATAGTTCAGAGCGTTACTAGGATTTTATTCTAAGCCTGATATTGCTCTCCCAGCACCTAATCTTTAAAGAATTTCATTTCTGACTGTCACAGGAATTTTTTTATTTTTCAGAGTTAAAGGTTAATTGATCATAGTCTCTTAGAGATGAGAGTCTAGGGAGGAAAAAAGACTGCTTTTCAATTTTTTTTAAGTTGAACTTTTTTTAACACTGTAGCTCCATAGAGTTTGTCTCAGTTCAAATTACTGTTGCTTACAGTGAGGACAGGTCCTTTGGAATATTTTCAAAAGGTCAGGTCGTATTCTTGACCTCGAAAACTTTAAAATGCCCCAATGAAATATTGCCCGTGGTAGTTAGCTTTGATATATAGCTCATGAGCGTGCATCCTGGCCTCATGTAAATGAAAAGCTTATCACCCGCTTTTAGTGTAACCACAGCCTGGAAAACTGATGTCCAGTTGTTTTCCAGGATGGAGGTCATGTCAGTGACTCGCTTAGGAGTGGGTTTGGTCAGGGCTCTGGGGCTGGGGTGCTCCTGCTGCTGTCAGCAGCACAGCTCCCACAGAAAGAAATCGCCAGCCAGAGCCCTGTGGCAGGTCACACACCTCCCTGTGGAACCCTCCTGTTCTTGGCTGTCACCTCCTGCCTCTTGTGTGCGCTCAGTAGCTCTTGCAAGGCTGCGCACAGAGTGCAGGTACAGACCCAAGAATCCTGTCCTGTCCCCTCTCCACTGCAAAGCACCTTCTGGACATTTGTGCATTTTCAGAGAAATAGGACACATCCTTTGTCTCTCTGGTACAGGGTGAATATCAACTCGGCTTCTATTGTCACCATAATCCAAGGAATTACTTTTATTTTAATGACCTCCACGTACAAACTGGGTAACTGTGCTATGTATTATTAACCTGTCCAGCAGAAGGAATCCAGGTATTTCTTCTGAGTCTGTCCAGAACAGTTTGTATCAAGGAAGTTTTTTAAAAAAAACCTGTAATTTTCCCTATTCTCTTACACTTAATTAACATAGAGGCAATCTGTTGATTCACTTTGGCAAAAGATGTATCCTCTGGATGAGGAGTTTGATCTGCTTTAGATTTTCTTAAGGGAGTAATAGAAGTGTAAACATCAGTTGTGGTGCAGGGATATTTGCAATCTTTACTGGATAAAAATAAAGTAATCAGGATCAGCTAGATTAGGGATGGTGTGAAAGTTTGTGATAAAAGATGAGATCATTACCTGTATGGGACCCTGAAATACACTTAAAAACAAAACCCAATAGCTATTGTTTCTTTTTTACTTTTTAAAATCATCTCACAGTAGTGAGTTGCTTGGAAGGAAAAAAACATAAGACCAATCCACAAGCAACCTATTTCAGTCCACTGATGTTAGGATCTATTAGGTAAAATAATCTGCAAGCTTTCGGCTTTATTTTTCAGTATATCAGCTCACAGGGCCATGCCACCCTTCTTTGAGACAGTAGCCATCCATAGTCAGGAATGAGGCAAAGAGGCAGGGAGACACTTTATAACTGTGGGAGATGTGTGGTGGCAGGAATTTGGCTAGGTTCAGGATCTGGAAATCACAAGGATGATATAAGCACTCTTTTGCAGATTTTTGTTTTTTACACATTTATATTCCATGTGACACCTGAGGACATTGTGACAAATAAAACATATGACACAGAAGGCATGCAGTGCACATTGTAACATGCTATTTCACCTTATAACATCTGCACATCTTGGTAAGATAGCTCTTCTTAACTAACCTCTGCATACATGTTAGTAGTATGTGATTTAAAATGTCCATATTTAATGTATTTATTGCATAGAAAATTCCTTACCATATTGTGGGCCATTCAGCCCCACAATGCTAAACTGCCACCCCCAATTTTTAGTAATATTCGTATTGGTCATAGGTGGTTGTATTAATTGACCAAAAAGACCAATTTCAAATCTTCCCTCCAGGCAATGCCCACAGCTGCACAGAGGTCATGCAGAGAAGCGTGTGGGCTCCTATTTCCATAGTTAAAGTAAAATAATCCTCTTCTTTGTGAAACCATTTTTAAAAATCTCTTATTATATTTCACATTGAATTATAGCTAAATCTTTTAGGGATAATTGCTTCCTAAGGGTCTATACATTTGCGCTCTTAGTACATTTTCATAAAATAAGATCTGAGAGTGCTTTGCAGTTCTAATGTGTCAAGGTCTATATGTGAGATTATTCATTTTTGCTTGGCCTTCATAATTAACATTTGGTCTCTACTGATTCTGATAAATGTATTCCCATAATACACAGAAACAACTGATTCAATTAAACATAGGCAAGTGGAAGAATTGCTGCTTCTTCATTATTTTTCAAATATTCATTCATTTTACTGATGTTAGCTTTGTAGTGTGTAATTTTCAAATTCAGAGTTTTCACTAATACATTTTTTCTAAAGAAAAATAAAAATTTTGCCAGTGTACATGCCTTCTTTACTGAGCTGAAGGAAATAATTCTTGTGAAACCAGTAACTTAATGTGAAATTTTATGAAAAATATTTAACTGGCTTTGACTGAAATAGAGAGAGGAAACTTTATTTTTTTTCCACAGGCCTTCTCTATTTTGTAATTTCTAATTAGGTACTATATTCTTCTCAAACCAGCTATTAATCTACTTTAAAGATCAGAAAGACATACTAGTTTTATCTTCAAGGCAAAGTTTTGAAAAGGACTATTTCATGGTGATATACAAATCAGGTGACCTTTACTGGCTAAATGAGCTTGCGCCATGCAATTATAATGTCATTAGAACTTGTAAGGGTTATTAATCTCCTTCAGGCCGGTTTAAATGTTACATCTTTTGTTATTATTGTTTTTTGGGGTTTTTTTGTAATGTCTGCCTTTCTTTTTAGATGTGATTTTTTCTATAATTTATCCTGCCTGCTTTCATAGTTTTATTAAGAATATAAAAGAATTAGAGCCAAGAAAATGACCTGAAGGAGCCATTAGAAGTTTGTCTACAGTAGTGTTGTAAAGCAACTGTGCCTGCCATGTCATCTGTTTTCTGCTGACATATAAGAATCAGGTCAAGGGCAGGAGATCTCAATGCATAGCAGTTTGATAGTTGTTCCAGTGATGATGCCTGTGAAGAAGCCACTTTAGAATACTTAAGTATTCCTTGATGCCTTTCATAAATTTTATTAAGTTCTTTTTGATTCCCAGAATTTACCAGATTCTTAGAGTAGAAACCATTTTTCCATACCTACTTGACAACAACAACCACAGAAACAAGTTCAGCTGACTGGTCAACCTGTCATCCATGAAGGGCATCATCACAAGAGATTCTGATGTTATAAGAGCTTAAAAAATTTTCAAAAGCTTTAACATGAAGTATAAAATGTTTGCTACTATTGAAAAGCACATGCTATTCATGCTATTGAGCATACGATATTAACTATAGAAAAAAAATCCTTGTTTCAGATAATGTGGCCTTTATTTGCAAGAACTAATTCTAACTGGTTTTAGGTTTGGTGCTTCAGAGCTGAAGTTTCATAAGTTTAATAAGTTTAGAGCTGGTCTATGGCTATAAAGCCTCTGATTTCAACAGAGACACATGCTTTTGAAACAAAATCCACAGAAACTTGTCTGAATCAG